AGGCTGCACAGCTGTGCTTTGAGCTAAAGGCTAAAGTCAAAATGCTAACACACCCATACGCTAACATGCTACCAGGTATTATCATGCTCACTATTCACTATACTATTCTTATTACATTATACTCAGTTTTGAATGTGTTCTGCTATTTTTGGACACGCTGAACAAAATGTGATGAAGTAACACAGTTGAACAGGTGCTAATGTGAACACTTCAGGTTGACTCTGTCACCATCTACTGTTGGATGTTTCCACAGAGCCTCCTGAGTGCCCACAAACTGACATCCTTTTTCTCATGTGGTCTATATGTGAGAATCTCAAATTATCACCAGTATTCTTAGGTTTTAACTCCAGTGTTTCCTCAGTGGGGGCCCTCTGCACTGGGGGCTGTGATTGGCCCTGGCTGCGTTGGCGCTGCCTCGTGGGTTGCTTCGACTGGGTTGGTGGGGGCTGCACTCTGCCTTCTTGGCGGTGGTGTGGGCCTCTCTATCTGCCCATGTTGAGGTGGACTCCGTGTTGGTGTCCTAGTGGCCACAGGCTGTGATCAGCTCCCGGTGCAGACGGCTCCCTGCGGTATTGTTTCCTCACCTGGCTGCTCTGCGCTCTGCCACATGTTTTTATGTCTACATCATGATTGTGTTTGTGGGTGTGTTTGGATGGGTGTGGGTGGCTGGGGGGTGGATGGGAGGGGCATTGCTTCTAACCATGTAAAGCACTTTGTGCTACATTTTTGTAAGAAAAGTGCTTTATAAATAAATAAAGATTGATTGATTGATTGATTGATTGATTGATTGATAAAGTCTAAAAAAAAAAAAAACAATAAATCAACATCAACACGTCAGCTGGCTTTTTAAATATAGATCATTTTCTGCCGGTGAGAAAGACTAAAGAGTGAAGAGAGGTTTGACACCTTAAAGTTAATAAACCAACAGTTTGGTCATTTATCGGTCAGCTATCTTTATGCACAAGTATCAGTTATTTTGAACTCTGAGTTTCCCACAGTGCAGCAGTCCCACCAGCAGCAGCAGCAGAGGCACCATCACTATGGTGAACACCGTCCTTAAGACGAGGACGACATGTATGAAGAGGTCTGAACAGGGACACATGTCTCTGTGATGAGCTGCAGAGACAAGAGAACATATCTGCTGTAACATCATGACAGTATTAACAGTATGTAACAGGTTGTCTCTGAGAGCTGCTGGAGCACAAGTTGAACACTGATCCTGTGTGTGTGTGTGTGTGTGTGTGTGTGTGTAATGTGTACGCAAACACAAACTCCATTAAAAGATCCAGCTGTAATCAGCGGCCGCTGTCATTAATGGATGTTTCTTTATGTGACGCTTTAGAGGATAAAACATCTAATTTTTGTAAAGACATTTCCTTGTGTCTTCTCTCCTCGCATGTCTCTTGGTGTCTTATGAGGGCAGAGCTAAGATGTGAGAAGGAGGCGCAAGTCAGGGAAACGTGTATTTGGAATGGAAACCTTAACTTGATAAGTAGTACATAATTATCCGGGTGCAAATAAATGCAGTGGTTATATTTTCCAATGTAGTCCAATGTCTGTGAGGTCAATGTAATTTTTAAAGTATTTTCTTCAATGTGATCCGAAAACTTTTGGTAAATGTTGGCCTTATAATATAAACATAATGGCCGTAAATATAAGGACATCCACCAAAGTATGTCAACACCTACACATTACACCCATATGTGGTTGTGCAATGTTTTTATCCACATAACAGCCTCCACTCATCTAGTTTCAGTCCAGATGTTGAACTAGCTACAGGACTTTTCTCCCATTATGAGGTCCAGTGCTGATGTTGTGTGATAAGGACTGGTGTGAAGTCAGTTTTCCACTTCATCCCAAAGGTGTTGGACAGGGTTGAGCTCAGGACTCCGCACAAAACTGGGAAAATCCTTCCTTGATTGACCTGACTTTGTGCATGTGGATATTGTCATGCTGAAACAGCAGATGGTGTCCCCACATTGGAAGCACACTATTGTCTAAAATAGAGACACACAGGCCTTGTGCATGCCACATATTGCAAACATGTCCCTGATCAGCTTTCTCTATTGGTTGATTGCTTGATTGCCTCAGTAGTGTATAATCAGCCATCTTCCATGGGTCAGTTACCAGACTGTCTTTGGTGTTACACTTGGCTCTTCAGCACTGATTTCTGATCCTGCCTGGCTGAACCTCTGCCTGTTTCCTGGACTCTGATTCCCTGTGTGATCCCTGTTGGTTAAGTTTGCCTTCTCTGGTTGATCATCTGGTTTTGATCCTGCCTGTTTACTTGATTAAACCATTTGGATTTTGACTGTTTAAAAGTTGTGCCAGTGGGTTCTTGTCTGTGTCAGCAACATATTTATTCTTTCAGATGATGATGATGAGGCCTCATCACTCTTCAGCTGGCTGATGATCTTAACATTTACTCATTCGAATGTGGATTCCTGTTTTGAAGTCTCTATTCTGGCCATCTTGGATGTTTGGAACCAGGAGTGATCTTCCTGGATGACAGGGTGGAGGGTGCTACAAAGTGCCTTCATTGTGTCACCTTTGAATTTTAACACAGAACCGACAAATGGCCGCACATTGCCACCCCAGTGTGTTATTCTAGATGGCACCCAGCATCCTGGAAGCAACAGCGTCAGCCGATAGTGTGACATATAACATACACTTAGGCAGCGCTTTATAAACCATAACAATGATATCACAAGGTAATAACCACCATTTAACATCTGCATTATATGGCAGCTGATTTCATCCTCTGCTTGGAGAGAAAGGAGATCACAAATCTCATCGTCTCCCCATTTTTTGGACATTTTCAGTTACTGTAGTTCATTTTTGCATTAGCTGCTAACTCCTGCTAGCTGCTAGCTCTTGCACGATATCAAAACATCACACCCATCCCATCCATGGTCCCGTCCTGCTGCCTGTCCCTCGTGCACAGACAGTTCACGAGGGATAAAATTGTACCTTTTATAAGGAACAGCGTGGCAGAATAACAGTGTGAATTTCTGTCTTAAACAAGCAGTGTAAATGTGACACCTCACATGCCCTAACTTTAAGCCTTAATAAATTTCTTTTACTGCAGTGTATTATTTTATAACCGGTAACCTGGCAACTGAGCTCAAAGTTCAGATGTCCATAAACTGAGGCAGTCAGAGTGTAACTTAACTCACAGATAGCAATAGTGTTTACACTGGAACTGAAACTTAAACCTAATTTATTGACATGTATTTTTAGAAAGTATATCATCAACCAGTCACATCTGGTTTGAATCTTCTTCAATTTGTGTGATTATTATTAATCTTCCTCTTCTTAGTAGTAGTAGTAGTAGTTTCATTTTGTTAAAGTGCTTATCCAGAAGGCCTGTGATTTAATGTGGTTTTAGTGTTTAATATGTTGCTGATCGAACATGCAACTGCAACAGACATTTGCACACAAAAAACAATACACGGCACAACATTTGGAAGGAGCAATTACTCTTATTGCTTAATGAACTACATGGAGCTGTTGATAAAAATTATCTCAGTAAAGGGTCGGGAGCTTATCAATGATTTACAGACTTTGGCCGCAATCGCACTCAGGTGAGTTGACTGAGACGCACAACATTCAACAGGTATGTGGTCTTTGTCTCACATTTAATCTAACATACAGTAGAAACTTTAATAAAAAAGTGTCTGCATGCTGAGTTATGATCTCTCTCAACCACAACGTCAGATAAGAACAGATAATTAGGTCTATAGTAAAGCTTTTGTGTGCGAGGGAAAATTGCATGCAGGTGTGAAATGTATTTCAAATTTAGGTCAAGTATAAGTGAAATGTTTTCCATTTAAAACAGCCTTGAAATAATTTGGAATGTTGAGCACTTTATCAAGACACCTGTTTCTTTTATATATTCTTAGATTTTAGACTTTGTAACATAGAAAGGGCTTTTGTGTAACTTAAATATTAAATGAGCTTCAAGCTTCAAAACACCTTTTAATTCACTATGGGATGTTTTAATGTGTTAAGCTACAAACGTGACATGTGTGGTAAAATGTGAGTTTTACTGAAAGAAGTTCAGACAGACTCACAGAGGAGAAAAAAACATACACCAGAAGTGAAAGTATGATGTCATGACTGTGAATATTTGTACAAGAGTTGTCACCACAATGAATGAGAATGAAGGAAAAGTCAATGTGTTCTCACAGGTGCTGAGTTTGTGGGAATCAGTCAGATCATCTATTATAATGATGTATAACATGTGTAACTTACTTTAGAGCACAGGAGGTGGCAGTAAAGACATTTTCATTTGTTGGAGTCTCCAGGACAAGTAAAGAAAACAAAGTTCAAATGAAATAATCAGTGTATAACACAGCTCCTCTGATTGACTGCTTTCTCTTAAATGGACACTTAACTGCTTTTTAATCAGCTTTATATCATAGCAAATGAACTTTGGTAAACGTAAAAGAGTTTGGATTTTCCGGTTCCTGCTGAGCAAAACTCCGCTAAATGACACAAAACGTGTCATTTGGCTCTCCGGCTATTACTTGAACTACAGGTTGTTACTCCTCTCATGTGTGCCACATTCACTTCTCCCTTGTTGCTCTTCCTCTTCTCTGCGGAGTAAATCCCGGACAAGCCCCGAGTGTTATCTCTATGACAGCTTAACAGCCCCGAACTGTAGTTGGGAACATGCTAGCTCATTAACTTTGGTTTTAGCTGGTAACTAACATCTAGCAGACCACTCTGCAGAAGAAAGTATGGCAAGGCATTTGAGTGCCGTTCACCAGCAATGGCTTTATTGCAGTCTTCACCACAAATCAACAAACATGGCCCTCTCATGAGGTTAAACAGTAGCCCTCAGCTTATCTAGACACTTCATTCTGCTGCTGTCAGTACTATTTGTGTATATCTTCACCATGACACCCTGAGGGAGCTGCTTCCCTCCATACACCATGAAGTACACGTCACATCCTCACAAGTTACCCACAAGGCCACTGCCCTTTAAGGGGAAACAGTGGGCTGCCACCATGGACACAAAGATTATAGAAGCAGCCTTAAATGTTATCAGAAACATATTTAAATGCCCCGTTTAGCTGTAGTATGGACAGTTTGTGAACACTAAGTCGGCTCCATACTGTTTCCTGCATAGTGAAGACGAAGGCTGGAAAAAAACAAACAGATCAAACAGTAAAACTAAGCAGCGTTGATCAAATTTAAACCAAGATTATGTCACTGCATTGCCTATTTCTCACCTCAAATGTTTTCAGAGACATGTTTTAGTTCACTGTTTAAACGTGAGATCATTGTGTCATTATGTCACCTTCCAGCGGGAGTGTTAATCCATTGAGCTGCATTGCATTCTGGTAGTTGTAGGTTTTGTACCTCTTGAGCAAAAGCAAATGCCACAGCCCTTTTCGCTGTTTTCTCTGATCGTGAAGCATCATTTTGAAAAATATTTGTGTCTTTCTGCTGCAGAGACAGCCCAGGTTTATGAGAAAACCATCTTTCCTGCAGTGAAATACCTCTTTCAGCATGTTAAGATATAATTTGGGTCCAGTTTTAACATGGAGAACCACTGAAAAGCCTTTTCCCCTGAAGCGTAACACCGTCGTCACTGTTTGCTGTTCATTTTCAGCACTCCATGATGCTCTTCCACGCAGACAAAAGGCCCCTTAAATCTCATCTCAGACCCCTCAGTGTTCTGGTTTTCCATCTCCTCCTAACACACTCCTGTAGAGGTAACTCACACACAGATACATCCTCATAGGTCACTATTATGTCACTGATAAGTCAAAACTATGGGGTGACCACCAGAACTGCATGTTTCCTGTCTGCCTTCAATCAATGAAGGCTAAAGTGTTGACAAGAAAGAGTCCCAGTTATGTTTTAATACAGACGTCACTGCTGTGTGAAGACAATATTCTGTGTTACTAAAGCTGTGTCTTACAGGAGTGGGTGAAGCCTCACAGAGTTGAGCAAATGTACTTCCTCTGTGAACATTAAAACAGACATTTGTCTTCCAGGTCAGTCTCAGCTGATTGGCTCCTCTCAGCCAATAGTAGCAACACTTGGTGATGACATCATTTTGCCATGTCGTCTGGAGCCTGCAGAAGATGTTGCTGGCTTGACGTTGGAGTGGACGAGACCTGACCTGAACCCCAGGTTTGTCTACGTGTGGCGTTCTGAACAGGAACTTGTGGGTAAAAAACACAAGTCCTTTGAGGGAAGAACATCACTGTTCGTCGATGAGCTGAAGTTTGGAAACATTTCACTGAGACTGTCCAAAGTCAAACTCTCTGATCACGGAACATACAGATGTTTTATTCCAGAAGGGGAAAGACAAACTTTTGTTCAACTAGTTGTTGGTAAGTTCATGTGTTCATGGTGCATGTTTAGCTCAGTGTCTCTCATTTTGATAATATCTTAATGCACTATGCACGAGCTGTCACTTCCAGTAATTGCACTGTCATTCATTTTTCTTTTCTCTCGTCATCAGGTGCCGTCTCCTCACCAGTCATAACTTTAGCAGGGATTGATAAAGCCACCAGTGGAGTGGTGTTACAGTGTGAGTCTGCAGGCTGGTATCCAGAGCCTGAGGTGTTGTGGCTGGACGGTGAGGGAAAGCTCCTCTCTGCTGGACCTACAGAGACAGTCAGAGGTCCTGATGACCTCTATACTGTCAGCAGCAGAGTGACTGTGGAGAAGAGACACAGCAACAGCTTCACCTGTAGAGTCCAACAGAGGAACATCAACCAGACCACAGAGACACACATCTCTGTTTCAGGTAAAAAATGTACATTTGTATAATGTGGTCATTGTTTCAAATAGCTGAGGCTCAGTTTTGTGTAAATGTTTTGTTATTTGATTTTTTATCATTTCAGATGATTTCTTTAAGGTCCAGTCAGGTTCTTCCATCATCACTGGTTTGGCTGTTAGTTTGGCTTTTTGGATCGTCATGTTTATTGTGTTACTTCTCCTTTTTTTGTGGAAATGGAGGCAAGATATAATCAGTAAGTCTCAAATTAATTTAAGTGCTGTGTGAATGTTATTTTCAGTTTATAGGTTAGGGTGTTGATAAAGGTGATGATTGTCCAGTGTCTTATTTTTATTACCCATTCTAGTAATTTTAGACAGAAATGTCTCTATGCTGTGATAACCTCATAAAATGAAAGTAAATGTCATATCTCATAAATCTGCTTCCTTTGTTTAACACAGAGACCAAGAAAAGCCACTTTCAAACTGGTGAAGACGAAAAGAAGAAGACTGATAAACCTGTTGATCAGTTTGTCACTGAAGAAGAAATAAAGCCTTTGAACGAAGAAGAGGAAAAGAAGAGCAAACCGGTAAGTAAACAGGACATTTGGCCTCAGTCACCAACATCTTAAGTAGTTCTTAAATAGCAGAATGTTTGCACCTGTGTTCTCACCATGACGAATCCCATTGTCAGCTGATTCTTATTAGCACAGGTCAATGCCCTGCAGATGTCTATAAAAAGACATGAGACTGCAGTTCCATGTGTACATATAGGAACTAAAGAAGTTGAGAGAAATTAGCAAAGAATCTGAAGATTGAAGAGAGTGGAGCACCAGACTCCAAACATTAAAAAAAAAACCTTAGGTCTGTGTTTTCAAAGGGAGGTGCTGCTACAGAGAGTATATTCCAAATGAGCTGTCATATGTAGTAGTGTCAGGAGTTGATAAGAAATAACAAAAACAGATGCATGGAATGCTAAAAATAAGTGTTCAACCATCAAATTACAGATGCACAAGAGTACTGGGGGCAGAGGCAAGCGCCATGGGGCTGGTCCAGCTGCGCCTGTGAGGGGGAGAGGGGCAGAGAGACAGAAAGAGAAGTCAGGGGTCGACTCACACAAGGTTTCTGTAAGTTGGTCTAATGACCCTTCTGTTATACTTGAATTTACTAACATTGTTTATCCTTGGAGTCAATTCGACCCTAGCAATTTTAACCTCCAGAAAATCAGGTACCATAAAGCTCCAGTTAAAAGCCCAGTCCCTTTTCCTAGCCCGGTGTGGCTACACATTTTGACAGATAAAGGTCTGTCTCAATTAGAGGCCTGGTCTGGTTGCCAAGCAGTTCATTGTTATAGAAGTTCTTTGGATGTATAAAACAGGTTGTTGGCTAACAACTTGAGCTAACATGAGTTAGATGTTTAGATCGCACGTAAATGTTTAAACTTGTGTCCCTGTGGAGACGCTACACATGGTTAGCTCAGTTAGATTCTCCACCGTTCAATCGTTCAGTTCATTTTACTGAATCCATGAGCAGCAGAGAAAAAAGTCATTTCACATTTACCAGCATGACAAAAACAAGGTGACTGCCTTCTTCTGAAGCTGTCATAAAGTCAGAATATGTGTCCATTCCTCCTTTACCCTGTGAGTTATTCATATTCCTATAGTCTGTAAGGGTCCAGTGATCAAAAGACTCAAAAGATTTTAGCATCAAATATAATCCAAGTTGTGAGTATTGTTCTAACAGTTTAAAGTGTCGGCATGTGTTAAGTCTCTCTTTCTCTGACGTGTTGTCTGTCGGATCTAGATCAAATGAACGACTCATTCTTGATATGTTATTCGAAGCCAATTTTTTTATACAAGTAACGTTCACACTGGTCTGTATAAACAATTTCATCGTATTTTTCTATCTTTGTTGAGCAACAGTTTTATGTGAAAGGAATTAAAGGCCTGTCCCATAGAGATGCCAGTCCCTAATATACGCCCATTGAGTTCAGTGATTTAAGCAAATAATAGCCTGGGCTCTTAAATGAAGTTTTATGGTACTTTATGTCTCTTTGTCGACTACTTAAATATCCCTTTAAATAATGCCCCACCCACCCCCTTATACATCACTACCTATATGTGACTATGGAAAAATATGCAAATTACCATAAAATCTCACTGATTGAACTAAAATTTGTGTTGTACAGGATTTATATGATCCTATATTACACAGGGGTATATTATCCACAATGAGCAACCCAATGTAGGTCTGCAAGTCACATCCAAGTCTTTCTAACTGTCCACATTCACACGCCTCCCCTCTAAATATGTCATTTTAAGTATATCTTTCTCAATTTACAATATTATAAAGAGCACATATGCTGATTGTCTTGGACATTGCTGACAGCATATGAGGTGGGGCCTGGAGCCATTTTGATGACATCAGCAGCACTAGGACTAGGAGCACTAGGAGATGCCTCATAATCAGGATCCTCCTCAACATTGTCGAGAGAAATCGTTTAGAAGGCTGCTGTGCAAATCTTTATGTTTGCTCCTCCCCTGAACTATCAGTGTCCTCAGGGGAACTGTATGTCCCTGCTCTCACGTCACGGGGAATATCAAAGCTCTCGTGCATAGTATGCCCCCAACCTCATGTCATGTGAGCGATCAGTGGTTCTAGCTCTACTACAGGTATGGTTAGGTAGATTAAGCCCCTAAAGCAGAGGGATGTTTTTGGAACATTATGAAACTGCATGTTACAGTGACCTCAATATCATCATAAACAACCAGAAAAAAATGTGTGTAAAACAGTGATACTTATATGTTTTATGGAGCTAAAATATGTCCTTCACATCTTTATTAACCTGCCAAAATAAAATATTGCAGCAGCAGCAGCAGCAGCTCCAGGAGGAGCAGCAGAAAAGGAAGGAGGCTGAGAGTACAATTCAGACCCTGAAAGAGAAGTTGAAGACCCAGAAGCTTGAGGTTTGTCTTTACATTTAACGCACTAATTTCAATTTCTATGTCATCGATAGTGTGGGCACAATCAGGCTTCTAGCAGTTTGTAACTGCTGCCTTCATTTATTTTGGAGTATAACTACAAATATTCATGTTTCTCCATGCATTTCCCTTCATCTTCTTCCTGCTCCCAGTATGAAAGTAAAGAAGCTGAAGTCCAGCAACAACTGCAGAGCCTGAAGGAGGAGCTGGAGACCAAGAACAGGGAGGTTCGTCACCTCAAATGAATCTCTCTTTCACTTTACCTTATCTTGAGCATCCTATTCGTCCACATTTCTCGAGGCAGCAGCTTTATGACACAGTGCTGTTTAGGGAAATGAGGGAAACTTTTTAAGATTTTTTTAAGATTAAGCTCTTAAAAACCATTAAAAAAAAGGGACCAGGATCAGCAGTGTTTCTGACTCTGATTTAGGTGTCTTTCTGTTGTACATGTGCTCATATGCCTTAATGAAAGAACCTGTCTCTCTCTGTACCACTTTAGCCTTCAACCCAGTTCGGGGAAAACAAAGTTGCTCAGTCTGTGTCTTTGGTAAGTATTCACATATGCAAGGTGACCTGTAGAAAGCAATAAACTCAGCACAAAGTGAATGTTGATGATTATTTTATTTTTGTGTATCAGGATGCCTCATTATGTATTTTATGATCTATATAAACCTTAGAGCAGGTGATTGTAAATGAGAACAAATGATGACACACTAAAGACTGTTTACACTTAATGTTAAAACTATTAATTTTATCTTCCATAAATCAGTATATAATTATTTGTAGAATACACTTGTAGTGTTGTTTTATTTTTCACCGTATGTTTTCACTCATTTGATGTAAAACAATGTGTTATTGTGTTGATTTTGGTATCTATTTTTTCTGTCTCTTAGCTTCCCTGGACAATAATCCACAGACAGACACTTGAGAACGAGCAACAGTGGAGAGAACAAGCTGAGAAACAAATTCAGGACCTGAAACAGATTCAGGATAAACAGATTAAGGAGGTTCTGACATTTGCCTTTTTAACAACTGATTTCTTTGTATCTTCATGTGCTTTTTTTATATTCTCTGCTTTATGTTAAGTTTATTTACATACTGAAATTTTCATTACAAAAAAATAAACTGTTCAAGTGTCTCCATATGCACCTGCTTTTATGTGTTCATGCAGGTGCAGCAGCACAAGTTGGAAAGTGGAATATAGACTGGAGGTTTTGATGAATGATAAACACAGCCAGTCACATCACTGGTATCATAGCTCAGAAAGAAGCAGAGCCAATCACAGTGGCGCATGATATATGAAATATAAAAATCATGTTGCTGTCTGGATGGTGCACAGTGGCAAGACTTGAATACTCAGCATTTTTTTGTCAGTACATTAGTACAATGGCGTGAGAATAATGAGTATAAGTACAAATAAGTACAATTTTAAAAAGTGTAATTTTTTTTGCCCTATTTAAAATCATGTCTTTCATCTTATTTCTATTCGTCTCTCTCCTCAGTCTGAGCAGCTCCAGGAGGAGCAGCAGAGGAGAGTGGAGGCTGAGAAAAGAGTAAAGACCCTGGAAGAGGAGCTGAAGACCAAAGAGAATGAGGCCCAGAAACACCGTGTCCTCCTTGCTGGACAGCAAAATACCACACACACAGGCAAAGGGAATTTAAAGGTCAGGGAAAAAAACATTTTTTTATGATCACCAGAAGAGTGTGTTTAAATTGTGAATGTCGTCAAAGTCATAAAAAGGCAGGAGAAGTGGAAGGATTGGGTTACTGCAGGCAGGATGAATCACAGCTGACTTTGAGCTGATTAAACTAAAAGTTCACCTTGAAACTATATAGTGTGAAGGGTTGCTTGTATTTTCTAATGACTAGAGGTCAAAGTGGGTAACTTGTCATTTATAACTGAGACTGAAGTATAGCTCAAGTTTTGAATGTAATAGACAAATTCTATTGTATTCAAAACTTGAGGTGTACTTGACATATTTGTGCAGGTGTCATGTCCTCATTCACATGGCCTTATAAACTCATGACTTGCATATTGTCTCTGTTCATCTCTCTGTCTGGTAAAGAAGCAACTTAAGCAGCGTATCCAGAAGCAGCAGAGCAAAGAGGAACCTGAGACGGAGGTGCAGACCCCGAAGGGCAAAAAAAATGTCAAGGTCAGCAAAATACCAAACGTTTGTAGCGCTGCTCACACTGGTTGTTGTGCCACCACGAAAATAGTAATAATAACTGTTTATATTCGTTGACACCAAGTAGCATCCAAAACCCAGTCAAGTTGAATTTCAGACTGAGACCAGAATAATTAGAGTCCTGTTTCATACCAAAACTCATAAACCAGCAAAACTGGCGATTTCCAAATGAAAACAAAACACATGTAGAAATTTGCCCTTTAAAATTCTTCATTGTTTCTTTGTCACTTGTGCAGTGTTGTAGTATACTCATCTAAATATGTCTCTCATCTTTTCTGTCTTCCCAGACTAAAGACAAACAAGCTGAAGTCCAGCAGCTCCAGGATGAGAATCAGACGATGGAGAACAACCAGCAGACCATGAACCAAAAGGTGGAGATCAACAAAAAGATTAATGTCTTTACTGTAAATGTTCTGTTCATGAAAATCTGGGAAGATGGGAAATGTTGTTTCAGACTAGCTCACTACCATCAGGAAAAAATGCTGTGTGAGCACGAGAAGACATTTCCATCTCATCACAACACATCTGTAGCTCTTTCACTGTTCATTGACACTTTTCTTTTCAGAACTCTGCTCTGTCTTTGGCCAACAACATGATAAGATGATTTAATTTTGTCCGACTTCCTTTAAGACCTCATATGAACAGACTCCTTTAAAACTACAATAAGAGAAAGTCAGATAAACTAATTATGGATCTGGTATATTGTTCAACACTGTATGAAGACCTGTCAACACTATTTACAGATACAAAGCATATGACATACATAAATACATTGTATTTTACCAGGTGTGTTTAACCTTTTTTGTCCTGTACATCACACTCATACAGAAACACATAAGGTCACTTTGCCTGTGCTGTGTTGTCTCAGGATCACAATCAGCCAGCCAATCAGGACTCAGCTAAGAAAGACATCACAGTGGATGGGGTCAACGTGGATGGCAAATATGTTCGTCTCAGCAACAACTCCGAAAAGGTAATTTCATTATGTCTTCATAAACACCTAGAGAATTCTACATGAGCACATATCTCAAGTTTTATAGTCACACAATAAACAAGTGTAACCATAGATATCCCAAAGGGGGTCATTCAAACCCAGACAGTGATTTTACCATAGTCCAATAGAACCACAAAGACTTCTAGCAAACTGACTCACACACTGTCCGCACTGCTGTATGTTACATTCACGATGTTTTGTGAAGACGTGTAGAATATTAATTTAATTAGTGTCTCTTTGTCTTATCTTCGCTCTCCCACTGAATCTCCCTCCTGCAGGACCAACCAATGGGAGGCTGGGAATTACATATACGAATCAACAAAAGAAAACCCATCAAATACCAGTTTTACCCCTCATTCATACTGAAGGCTGGAAACACTGTCACTGTGAGTTTTTCATGACTGTTAGTTGATGTTTTTTCTCTTTGTTTCTTTTCATTCTTTGTCATTTATTCAAATCTCACTCTACCTCAACTGGTGAGAATGCTGTTATCGAATGAAACAGCTGGGCTAATTGTGATGAGGTGATGAAGGAGTCAGCTGACTCAATGTTTGTATGTTTTTATATTAAACCTAACCATGTAGTCTTTGTGTCTAAACCAAACAAAAGTGAAGGTGAAACCTAACGACACTGCTCCTGATGTTTACAGGCATTAATTGATCTGATAACAGTATTCTGAACATCTTAACTCATATCTGACACACATACATTCTTATAATGTCTATTTAATGGAGTGATAAGATTCAAAATTGATGGCAAGTATCTTCTTGTATGGTGAATCTGTGAAATTTCATCTTTTCAGATCTGGGCTTCAGATTGTGGTGTCAGCTGTGAGACCTCTACTGACCTGGTGTGGTTTGGCCAGCAACCCTGGGGCACTGGAGAACAACTGCTGGTCACCATCTACAGCAACACTGGAGAGGTCTGACATCACATCCCATCACATTTGTTGACTAACACATTATATGACCAACAGTATGTGGACACACACACACACACACACACCTGTCCACCTACATAGTGTATGTTGGTCTGCTTTGTGGGGTTTGTCAAGGCCCCTTAGTTCCATTTCAGAGACACCTTAATGCCATAGCATACAATGATACTGGAGATAATGACATTCTTCATGTTTGTAGCAACACTCATGGAAAGAGCCTTTCCTGTTTGAACTTTACACTGTCCCCATGCACAAAGCCAGGTCAATGAAGAAATGAGTTTCACCAGTTTGATGTGGAGGAAATCTACTGATCTGCACAGAGCTCTGACCTCAACCGCCAACTGAGAGCTCAGCATCAGTGTTGGACCTCAGTCATGTTCTTTGGTCTGAATGAGAGCAGATCCCTGCAGCAGGTTCAACATCTGATGGAAAGACCCGACACCAGAAGAGTTGAGACTGTTTGAGCAGCAGCAGATTAGTGATCATGATTTTAGACTTACATTTAAATTAGGGTTGGTTCACTGTAAAGGCCTATGACCTCTGACCTCTACTGTCACTTCTGTTTTGTTCCTGTTATTTGATTGTACCCATTGCTTAAGGGTCCATGTCATTGGTCCAACAGCCCATTGGTTCGACATCCCATTAGTCCGACTGTCCGCGGTGCTAAACGGCTCCCGGCAGGCGTATTTCTACCTTGATGATGCGCCGCGACCAGCTCTGGGTCAGCTGGGAAAGGCTTGAGGTGGAGCTGGCTCACGGCTTATGTGTTTGTCACTTTCTTTTTCATTTTAACCCACACCATGATCTTTTCCTGACCCTAACCAAGTGGTTTTTATGCCTAAACCTAACCAGACCTTAACCACAGGGCATCTTGATGATTTCGGAACTGACTTCAGAACAACAATGGGTTTAATATGGTCGGAACAATGGGATGTCGGACCAATGGGCAGTTCCCCTGCTTAACACTAAACATCCATCTGTTAGCTGCAGAAATCTAATCAGTTTTGTGTGTGTGTGTGTGTGTGTTGCCTCTCTCTCAGCTGGAGGTAAACACAATGCTAGGGCTTCTGAACTCTCAGAGTAATCTCCAGCAGCAGCAGACTCACCTGGTCAGTCAGGATTCAGCCATGGGAAACATCACTGTGAGTGACATCGACCTGAAGGGCAGTTATGTTCGTCTCAGCAACACGTCCAATAAGGTAATGCTGTGTGTGAATGAACACTGTGTGAGTTCTATATGAGCATGTGCAGTGAGATTCATAGCTGTACATTAGGAAAGTGTATCCAGGGATATTCCAGTGGGTCATTCAAACCTACATAGTGATTCTACCACAGCCAATTAAAACAAAATGACTCAAAGCAAACTGAGTCACACACTGTACAAACTACTGTATGTTAGACTCAAGATGTTTTGTGAAGATGACCCATGTTAATTTAATTAGTATCTCTTTGTCTCATCCTTTCTCTCCCGCTCCACGTTCCTTTGTCAGGACCAACCATTGGAAGGCTGGGAATTACACATACAGGTCAACGACAGAAAACCCATTGTGTACAAATTTTCCTCCTCATTCAAACTCAAGGCTGGAAACACTGTGACTGTGAGTGTTTCATGATTGTGTTTATTTTTTCCTCTCTGCATGAAGAAAACTGTGACTGAAACTCAGTGCAGGCTGTCACAGCTTCAAACATATACTTTACTTTATACTGGGACACTGTAATAACTCACTCTAATAACTAACTCATGGTCCAAACAGATATTTTGACTTGTGGTTAGTGAAGTGTTTCCTCTGCAAATGTCTCATCTGTGATGTTTGCTACTTTCAGATCTGGTCTTCAGATCGTCCTGGCAGAAACAAGCCTCCCACTGACCTGGTGTGGCAGAAACAGAAATCCTGGGGCACTGGAGAAGAACTGCTGATCACACTCTACAACAGCACTGGAGAGGTCTGACATTATCTCACATTTAAAACATTAACAAATACAGTACATGGCCAAAAGTATGTGGACACACAGACACCTGTCCACACAGAAACATTCTACATTTTACATTCATGAAACATTCTACAGCCAACTGGACAACAGGGAGAAGATACTGAGTTTGATCACGATATTCCATGTAATCAGAGCTGATACTAAGTACACACAGATCATTTTAATCCACTTTGATGAAAGAGATGTTTACACAGATCTAAGACCTGAGGCAGGAAAAAAAAAGAATCCAACAGACCTGATTAGACTAAATATATTTTCAGCCAGGTACAATTTGGGTCTCAGGTTTAACCTGTGAAGACCTTTCATGCTGTGAGCCAGGACCTATCACCACCTATAGTAGCTGACCTCACAATTTTTTAAGTCTGAATGAGAGCAGATCCCTGCAGTGGGTTCAGCATTTAATCGAAAGACTGAAACCAGAAGAGTTGAGGCTGTTGAAGCAGCAGCAGATTAATGATCATGGTTTTAGAATTCAAGGATTCAAGGAAGTTTATTGTTATTACCGGAACATGTTGGTACATGAAGGCAACGAAAATTGTACTCAGGTCCTGGTGAGGGAAACAAAGATAAAAGAAACAGTAAAACACTAATAACATTGCAATAGATATCAATAAATAAAAACATAAATAAGTGTGTAGAGGTAGTGGGAGGATGTAGCACCATAATTGCACATGCCCATTAAGTGCATAGTTGAAAGAAAATAAATTTAAAACATAAATTAAACAAAAAATGTAAATGAAATATAAAAAAAGGACCAGCAGCAATAAAAGTTCAAGAGTTCAAGAGTCTCACAGCTTCTGGAGAGAAGCTGTTTTTCAGCCGGGTGGTTCTTGCCTTTATGCTGCGCAGCCATCTTCCCGAGGGGAGGGGGGGCAAACAGTCCATTGGCAGGGTGGGTGGAGTCCTTCATGATGCAGAGGGCTTTCCTCCTGCACCTGGTGGCATAGATGTCTGACAGGGTGGGTAGGCTACTGTCCGCGATCTTCTGGGCAGTCTTCACCACCCGCTGCAGAGCCTTCCTGTCTGCAGCAGAACAGTTTCCGTACCACACTGTGATGCAGGAGGTAAGGATGCTCTCCGCCAAACACATGTAGAAGGATGTTATGGCTGAGCTTCCAAGTCTAGACTGCTTCTACTTCCTCTGGAAGTAGAGGCGTTGGCAGGGCCGCCCCTCCCTAAACGCAGAACACGCGCTGTGCGTAGGGCCTCATCTTCCATGGGGGGGCCACATTTTGCGCAAGGGGACGCATTTGCACATATGCGCAATGGATGCGCACATGCGCTACCGTGAGGCGCGCGTAGAATCAGCTCGAGGAAGTAGAGAAGGGACCTGACCGCCCATGCGTCGCTGCAATGATTGACAGCACTCGACATCTGAACAATCAGAGGGGTGCGCTGGCAGGCACTTGCAGAGCTGCAACAGGTGAAGAGTTGTCGACATGTCGCCCAAAAGAGCCTCAGGAGTGTGTGCGGGGACGGTAGGGCGGGCGGGGGTGCTCCACGGAGGGGGAGACCCGAGCCTCGGGAGTATGTGCACGCAAGGGACAGCGGGCGGGCTCCACGGAGGGGGAGACCCGAGCCTCGGGGGTGTGTGCGGGGCTGGGATGCTCCCAGAGAGGGGAGAGGGAGAAATATAACAAAATAAGATTAAATAGGAAAAACCTTTCTCCCTCTTTTATTTTATTTTCAGTGTTTAATCAAGGGTGGGGGATTGAGGTGGTGGAAGTTACTTTCTTTTGATGAGTAATTGATGGCTATTTGTGACTCAGATTTGTTTATTTATTTATTTCAGTTTGAAGTTATTTTTATTTAATATTTATTTATTTATTTCAGGTTGAATTTTTTATTTTATTTGACTCATACAGCCAAACTACTGTATCTACAGTACATTTGTTATTGCCAGTAAAGGTTGTCAAGTTAAATGGCAAGTTGTTGTACGGT